CTCGGAAGCAGGTATAATTTATGAGGAAAAACGCAATCGTTTGCTATCAACAAATGCTGAAAAAATTGTTTTCATCATCATAACTTACCACTAGTAGATTTTTAATATGAAAACGTTAATTTGTTGGTTAAATAAACATCTTTAATATTGAGTAATATTTTGTGTATTTTTTGTCATGATTTGCTATTCGGTATTCGACCGAATAGTTTGCAATTTTCGGCCGAATATTGAATAGCAAAAAAAGTGACCGAATAGTTGCCGAATATTCGTGGCATCTCTAATATATAGCCTATAGCCCTTCTCAATAAACTGACTATCTAATGCAAAAAGAATTTTCCAAATCAGATTAATAGTTCCTGAGATTAGCACATTTAAACAAACACAAACTTTGCCTCTTTATAATATTGGTATCAATGTAGCATTGAGGTTGTGCCACAATTTTCTATCCTAGACTCTGGTCACAAATCCTGTCCCTGCCATTAATCCTATGACTATCAAGGTTTTCTGTCCAACAACTAACATCCCACACTAAGCTTGTTTTAGTGCAACTTCTGTTTGTTTTATCATCTGTTGACAGAGTTATGACAACCAATAGCCATACATCAGATAACTCCCACAGGCCGTATCATTTTTAGTATTCAATGAATATGTTCATTACATCATTAGAAACTATAATCTTAAGGAGATCTTAAGATTTAAATCACATAGGAAAAAGCTATAATTGTGTAGTAGTTTGTCCATGGGAAGTCTTTTATTTTGCAGTTTGTTCATGAAGAACCTGAAGAATTTAATTATGCCAAGATAGATCTGAAAAGTTCAGAAATGGTTTTGTTAATATGATTACACATTTTTTTAATTTACCGAAAATACTGCGACAAGTACAATTATTAAAATCAGTTAAACCTACTGGTGATAAAAAACGTTTCTCTATCATACAATAATTATAAAAATAAAATAAAACTAATAAACAATAATCATTAAAATATAGGCATATGAAAAAAATAAATAATTGTTAGATTTATGTTTTTGAGGCTGTGGTAGCCCAGTGGTAACGCGCTCCCTTGGGTAAACGAATGAAGCGGGTTCAAAACCCAGGTCTTGCACCTCTGATATTTTCATGTGCAAATCATTTCTAACACAATGACCACTTGCCTTATGATGAAGGAAAACATTGTGAGGAATATGTTGGGACAAATAAATATGTTGGGACATTAACACACAGCACCATCTAGTTCCATGATAAGTTACAAGGCCTGTGATATGGATACCTCATAGTTTATACACTGTACATAAATAACTTTAAATACATACATATTAAACCCATGACTGGAGTACAAACATTCATGCTCATCACACAAATGAATGCCCCCAGCGGGACTCAAACCCACAACCACTGGCACAGCAAATAGGGTCACTACAAACTGAGCTAACCATGTTGTCAAAAGGAAACCTGCATGTCTGAGAGAACCTAGCAAGTTTTAGAAAGACATATTGTGAAGACCGCCAACCTGCACTTGACCAGCATGGTGATCTATATCCTGCATCTATCCCATGCTCAGCAGTGCTACGTTAAAAAGGGCTGAATATATAATATGTTAATTTATTTGAACTATATGGTGAAATAAATTTTTAAGCTCCATATAGAAGGTAAATATTTTAAGATTAGAGACAGATAAGTTAAATGAATGACATTTTAAATAAAACTAACTTTTCGGATTTTGTCATGGATTTATTTGCATTTTTGTTCCCCGACGTTTCAAATGCTTTACAGCATCCATGGTCACGGGAGAGACTGAGGTGTTACATGTCTTGAAGGTATAGTTGTTACAGACAGCCTACCCACAATAAACAAAATGAAAATTGCACCAATTACATTACAATATTTTTTAACTTTAAACATTTTTATAATTTTAATTATAATTGAATATGGAATATTGAAATATGGAATTATTATTCCATATTCAATTATACGCGACAAAATCCGAAAAGATAGTTTTATTTAAAATGTCAAATATTCGCGTAAATCTAAGAAAGTATTAATAAATGTATGAATTAAGATAAAATATTTTTTTTAAGTAAATTAATGTAGACATTACTAATGACATTTTTAAAATTTGAACCATAAGAATGAAGCTAATCTAACCACAAACTTACCTTGCACTAAGTATCTGCTTATGTGATGCTTTTAGCTTGCATTACAGTTTCAATCCGAGTGTATCTGGTTTACATTTTCTGGTATTTACTCAACTGTAATAAAATGAAGAATTCTTAAACAGATAATATAAAAACAATTCTCTCAGTGTGAACCCTTGTTTCTGTAACATTTCACAGCAAAGATTACCAAAAGTAAAACTTCAAATAATATTTCATTTTTGTGAGTTTTTGCAAGACGGATGTTTACAAAATAAATATTATTTACTAATAATAATAATTTATTTACTTTTCCACATCATAATTTAACATTTCAAAACTTATTAGTTTTATGTTATTAATAAATAAATTTTAGTAGTCCTTTTGTCTAGTTTGGCTCGTCTTTTATAAACGCGTCCCCCAGTAGACTCTTGATTTTTTTTGTGCAAAGTACTTATTATCTTGAGTAATCCCACAAAGTTTCAAATGGAGGAAATATATACTTTCGGAGATAAAAAATATCAAAGTTAGATAAATATAACCTCAATACTGCAGTATTTTATTGCTTTTGAGTTTTGACCATGGATGACAAATAAAAACTTAGACGTATTTTGACAGAGGTGTTGCTATTTTAGGGTGTTTTAATTATGTTTTGATTTTGCAAGACAGAAATGCTAGTGTTGCCATTTTAGGGAGTTTTAATTAACCGACTTCCAAAAACGAGGAGGTTCTCAATTCGTCAAAAATTTTTTTATGTATGTTCACCGATTACTCGAAGACGCCTGAACCGATTTGGAAAATTTTTGTTTTGTTTGAAGGGGTATACTTCCCAGGTGGTCCTATATAAATTTTATCGAAATCGGTCGAGCGGTTTTTAAAAAATTCAACAATATTTTCTTTTTTTTTAAACAAATTGTTTAATCGAATATGTTATTAAAAACTTTCTTCCTACAAATAACTTACTTATTACGTCTACACTAAAAATATAAAAATAAAAACTTAAAAAAAAAATTAAATGTGGCACTCGGAGACTGCCGCGGTAAAGCTATTGCATAGCATTTTTTATCAACTTATGCAATTATAATTATTTATTTATTTTATTAATGCAGTATTTTTTTCCTTGACTTTCTTCATTAATAAATGCACTTTGTTTATTCATATTTAAAACACTTTGTACACAAATTATACGAGTACAGATATTCACTGTTGTACATAGATGATAAATACCTATACACCTATATACTTTCTCACAAACAGCTGATTACGGTAGTTTTCCAATACAACCAATGCCACCTAAAGGCAGGTTGCTGAACTAAAGAAACAAGCGTGATATTTCAAAAAGTCATTTAAAGTTCTGGTATTTATCGATAGATGGAAAAACTAAAAAGTATCACCGCTGTGCCGGTCAGAGTGGGGGGTGTCAGGATTTTTTCGTTACGGAATTTCTGTGTTCGGTACCCACGCTCAAGGCCTGCGATAGAAGCTATGCAATAGCTTAAAAAACCGACTTTCAGGCACTAAAATGTAACAAATTACTAAACGGGGGTTTTCATTTAAAATAGATACCTAATCAGATATTTTCGAAGTCGGTGCAAGCGGACAATATTTTAAGATATACATCTAATAGGTAAATATGTATTTTACGTGTCAAAATATATTAGATTTCCTATGCGTCGGCTGTAATTAACGTTTTTTGTGAATATTTCGCGGTTTTATTGAAATCAAAATATCTCAAAATATGCCAAAATTAATAGAAAGTGGTGTTAGAGACAAAAGATCCTTGTAGCACTGTAAACAGAATAATCTTAAATTTTGACAAAACTGTCAATTTCTGTTTTTTATACCGCACAAACTTTCCGGACAACAGATTATCGCTTAGTAATGAGTTAAAAGTTATGCATATTAAAAGTGAAGATTGTCATCAGATTACTAAGATCTTAAAATAGAAATATGTTATTTTCAATTCATGCATGCGTTTACGAGTTTTTATTTTGTTTATGTAAAATATTGTGTTCCATTATTTGATTTTATTATCTGTGAAAACTTTTCAGTGTTTTTGGCGGGTAGTCATAAAATACCGCAAAGTTCGATAGTTTATGTTTTTATTTGTCATCCACGGTTTATGTGAATACGTTATGTACTCATTAAACGCGTTTAGGTTTTCATATTTTTTGCTCTTTTTCATAATTTTGTTTTTCTTATTATTTTCCAGTAGCTATTAGTTTTTGTTAATTTTCGTATACATTCGTTTCTAGTTATTTGTTTTAATAGTATGACTATAGTTGTAAGTGTTATTGGTGTTTTAAATCTACTCGTTCAGTTTATAAACGTAAGTAGACTATTTTTTTAATCAAGTTAATTATTTATTTTCGATTAAGTGACAGTCCGACTTGGTTAAATAACGTTGAGAAGGCTAAGGCGGGAGCGAAGCGTAGCGTAGCTTAGCAATTTTTTTCTATGGCAATAATTACAGCAATCCGAAAATTTTACCGAATATGCTATTTATTTATAGCCTGTATCGATTTCGTTCTTGATTCTTCTAAATTTCATCCTTTATTATTAATAGGAATATTATGTGCTGTGATTTAATTTATGTTATAGCGAAGTTGTAAATAGGAGATTAGATAACAATATTTATTTTATAAGTGATATCAGTTCTTACAAATTAGTACGCATCAAGCTTGATGAATCGATTAAAGCGGAAATATTCTCTCAGTACCAACATAATAAAATGGTCGAAATAAACAAGAATTTTTAAGTTTGGCTGTTGTCAGTCAGTCCACTTGTAACGATCGAAGAGCGGTGAACATCGAGGAGAGGTCGTGGAGGAATTTACCATCTAGCCACCATCGCCGTTCGCCAATTACACCATGGCTGATACCGAAAAGGCGCCGCAGCCGCAGCCCCAACAGCAGCAGCAACCTGAACAACCACCTCAACCCCAGCAAGCAAAGGCAGCTAAACAAAAGCAGGTCATTGGTAAGTGCCGCTACGCCATCTTAGTTTTGCGTGTCCCGGTATTTTAAGAGCACATGGTCCTACAATGTCTTATTTATTAATATTTACATATAATATGATAAGCGAAAATAATTCTTTATTTTGATTTAAACTGCGTTATATTTTAAATTTATGTTTATGATGGAAGCTAATAAGTGAAGCATTATTATCGATCGTTTGATGACCCCGGTGTTTAGTTCACTTTATGTAGTTTTCAGTAGTCGATACAGCAAAATTGTGAATATGCGTTTCTGAGCTGCAATGATGCTAAAATGCAGTTTTAAGCTGTTTCTACTTATGTATACTTTTAAATACGAATCTGATTTTTAAGATATGATTGCGCATTTAAGACTGATGTAGATACAAATAGCGTTACTCGTACAGCTTTGCAGTGTGTACCGCCATTTTATAATCCCTTTGTCACTGATTTTTTTTGTTAACATTTAAATTGTTTCTTCTGTCTTAAATTACTATAAATATCTTTGAGGTTTAATGAATCATAATTAAAATATTTAAATAGTTTTTGTATTTTCTGCAGCCATTCTGCAGACTACACTTAAATTAATCTAGGTAATGATGGTGGTAATTTTTTTTTTAAATTAAATCTGTAAACATTTAAAAAATATAAAGTTAAAGTTTCGACTTTAAATTAGTGTACACGGTATGTAGATGTTTTGTAAACTTTCAACCTACAACCACACAATGTGGATACTTTTATTTCTTTATTGTACCTAAATTTTAAGTTACAAATCACATAAATAGATTTATCTTTTTCAGCTGAGAAGGTTTCGGGCACTGTAAAATGGTTTAACGTCAAGAGTGGATATGGTTTCATCAATAGGTAAGTAAGTCTATAAATTATTATTAATAGAAAAACAATAGTTTCTAAACTTTGCCAAAACTCACAAGTGACTGTTTGCAGGAATGACACAAAGGAGGATGTATTTGTACATCAGACAGCAATCGCCCGTAACAACCCACGCAAGGCTGTGCGCTCGGTCGGCGACGGCGAGGCGGTGGAGTTCGCCGTGGTGGCCGGCGAGAAAGGCCATGAAGCTGCCGGAGTGACCGGCCCCGGCGGCGAGCCGGTCAAAGGCTCGCCCTATGCTGCCGACAAGCGTCGCGGCTTCCCACGCCAATACTACCCACGGCCAGGAGGCGGACGCGGCGGTGAGGGCGCTCCACGCAGAGGTGGTATGGGACGTCGCGGACCCCCACCCAACCAGGGGGGCGCGCAGGGAGATGAGGGGCAGGAGGGAGCTGGTGGTCCACCACAGCGTAGGTGAGTCTGCACAAGAAAAATAGCTTAGACTTTTTAATTTTATCAACTATTTCAAACACACAAAAAAAATCAATATGTACTTAGTATAATTATAATATTTGTTACAGCTACTTCCGTCGTAACTTCCGTGGTGGACGCCGTGGTGGAGGTCCCCGACCTATGTACCGTGGTGGGTACCGTTACGTGCGCACCCGCAATAACACACAGGGACAGCCGGGTCAAGGGCAGCCTCCGCGCCAGAACGGCCAAGGAGAAGGAGAAGTTCAGGCCTCTGCTTCTGCATCACCAGCCCAGCCCAAGGCCAAGGCTAAACCTGCAGGCACCACCATAGAGACCACCACCAACGAGAGCCAGGCCTAGATGGTCGGCCGAGTGTGGCACGCCCCTAGTAGTACATGTCGATTCCAGCCGTGCCGCACGCTATCACAACTTACTGTCTGTCTATTCAACTAAAGAGTGTTACGTTGCGTCGTTGCAATCGATGATCAGATCATTGTACACCAATTTTATGTGTAGAGTTAGCTAAGTCGAAGGGGGGTGTCGCGAGTGGAACTGCATAGTATCATGGATCAGAGATGTGATATTTTTATTATTTTATAATATGTTGTATACCATTTGGCCGCCGGGCGGCGAGCGATAGTATCGAATTATTTTTTACTATTTAATAAATATTATAGGTCGCCGTGCGAAACCGCCTCTAAGAAATTGCGTGTTTTAATATTAAAAAGGTTTTTGATGATTATTGGGTATACATGTAAAATTATAAAATGTCCTCTTAAATGAGATGTGCAATTTTAAATTATAATATTTATGTATATGTATTGAGAAATGATATGCAGGTTCCGAGGCCCCAAGAGAATCTTATATTTTAAAGTCATGTGGATTTATTTTTATCAATGTCTACAACTTATTAATTCGTGCATCGTTTAACTGAAATTTTAGTTGTACTTGTAACTTTAACACTCTCAGAGAAATAAACTTCTTTTTACCTGTGTGAAAATTATTTTATTTATTTATTGACAAATTACTGTAACCCGTTTCAAAAAAAATAAGAGTGCGTGTATCAATGTGTACACGCGCGCGCAAGAAGAGAAACTTCTGTAGCTTATCGGTACTTTTTATGAAATTCAATTTGTTTTAAATAATTAGAATAGGGGAGATACTAAAAAAAAACAATTTTTTATCAATTTAAATAGGAAAATAATATTTTATCATTTACATTGTACATATTTGTTATTTACATAGAGTAGTAGTGATGGGTGTTAAGATAACATTTAATTTTTAATCAAATGCAATGATTCAATAAATTTTATATGTACATACTCCCATAAAATCTATACATATAATAAAATTCTAACTAAGCCGTATCTGTAAATTAAATATTTTTTGCAAAATATTATTGAATTAGACATTATCGATACAGAGGCCAAATCTATAGTTAGAATGTTTGTCTGTTACTGTATCACGGAAAAACTACTGGAAGTGGAGGGATTTTGATGAAATTTGGTATGGTGGTATCCGGGTCAACATATAGAATACTTTTTACGGTGGAAAACATCTCATTTCGGAGAAAAAAAACTAAAACTGCAATGTAAGATGTAAAACTTAAGAATTTGGTTTTTGGTTATCTTGGCGGAGCCGCGGGCAATGCTAGTAAATAATAATACAGGGATGCAAATTTTTTGTATTTATAATGTATAAAAACTATTTCAAGTAAATTTAATATAATTTTACTAACAATATTCATTTAATATGATTCCATCGCTCATTTAAAAATAGGTATGTTTCACGTAACTGCCCACCTTAACTGGTTCTATTACAAAATTCGTAACGTCAATCCCTTTTTTTCTTCATGGCGTGCTAAAGAAGTTACATTTCAAAAACTGAATTATAAAAGTACAAGATATGCAAATTATATATAGTCTGGCCATAAATACTGTTACAATTAAAAATAAACAAAATATTATCACTTAGAATTATGTCGCGTATTTTAAAATATGACTTGGCACTTGCAGCATACTATGAGACGCACTGGTCATTTCTTAACTGATAATTTAAAAAATAATAGGGTGGTAAAATCAAAACAACTACTTAAGCGGTACGCAAAGGGAGGTCACAGAAAAATGTTTACGGATGAGAATTTTTTTACAATTGAGCAATATTTTAACAAACAAAATGAGCGTATTTATGCTCAAAGTTCTAAGAAAGCTTCGCAATTAGTACAACGTGGACATTATCCGACTTCAGTGATGGTTTGGTGGGGTGTTAGCTATGAAGGAGTAACTGAGCTATATTTTTGAGAAAAAGGTATCAAAACATCGGCACAAGCGTATCAAGATACCATTCTTGAGAAGGTAGTTAAGCCCCTTAATAACACCTTGTTCAATAACCAAGAATGGTCCTTTCAACAAGACTCGGCGCCGGGTCATAAAGCTCGATCCACGCGATCTTGGTTAGAAACCCACGTTCCGGACTTCATCAGAGCTGAAGACTGGCCGTCATCTAGTCCCGATATTAATCCGCTGGATTATGATTTATGGTCAGTTTTAAAGAGTATAGCTTGCTCTAAATGCCATGATAATTTGGAGTGCCTAAAACAATCCATACGATTGGCAGTGAAGAATTTTCCCATGGAAAGAGTGCGTGCTTCTATTGTTAACTGGCCTCAACGTTTAAAGGACCGTATTGCAGCCAATGGAGACCACTTCGACGAAGCTTTATATATTTTTAATGGTTTTATATTAATGTATTAAATTAATACACAATAATAGTATTAAATGTTAAGTCCAATAGAAAAATGTTTTTCCTTTGTAATAATATTTAGGGCAAGACTATGTAGATTACATGGTGTGGCAACCTGTAAAAAATTGCATTCTCGACTTTCAGTAAGTTCACACAGTAGCTTGACGAATTAGATGCCCACTTAAACAAATCTACTACTATGGCTTTTCATTGTTATCGACTTAATTTTCAATTAGGCGCATTGAAATTTTCACAATGATGAAATCAAAAACTTACATCGTTTATTTTGCGTGCCGGCTATGTTGCTTTGGTGCCATGATGGTCGATGGGGCTCATATTACAAAAAAACGATGTTAAATTTTTCTATGGTCACAGAAACAGCAATATTAAAGAAAATTGAAACGCCGATAAATATGAAAACCTGATAGAACATATTATACAATATTAGTGACTCGCTTCGCTCGGGTTCGTCCCTATTGGTTGGCGATTCTTTGAATGGACATAACTTTTTTTTGAAATGAATAAAATATAAAATGTTATGTGAAGCTTACCACAACACATCAGTGAAAACCGCACACAAATCGGTTAAATCGTTTTAGAGATTAGCGCACAAACGCACAGACAAACAGACAAAAATTCTAAAAATCATTGTTTTGGGCTCTGTTGCGTTAATAAAGCAATAATAGTTTTTCTCAAGTATCTTCCACGAACAGAGAGCGATCGTTTCACTTTTATTATACCTTAATATACATATATAATTCTACTGTACGTATGTTAGTCACCTTTTTTTTAGGAAAAACCCGGATTCCGGGTACCCGCTCGCCAATGGGGAAGCGAGGCGGATTATGTAGGGCTCCTACCGCGCAAAGATGGTAAGCGCGCGGCAGCCTAGCAACTAAAAAACATGATATAATGACACCTCCGTCGCATTGAGGCCGGGGTCACGGGTACCAAACACCTACATCCGGATGCAGAGGACGGAGAGCAGCAACGACACACCGACACTCCTCTTCCCCTGCAGCCCCACCGCGTCCGACATCTAACGGTGGCGGCCCCGTCGAGGCCGCGGAAGGCAGGGAGAACAGCGCACAGTAATACCTGCACTCCTCTCCCGCCGCGGCCTCTCCCTCCACCGGTCGCGAGCCTGCCACCACAGTCTCGCAACCGGCCCCCATCACCCGGTTGTGGAACCGCCAAAGCGGTCCCACCACCGGTGGCCGCAACGTCAGAAGCCGAAGCCTCGACGACGAGCGGCCTCACCATGCTGTTGGTCCGCGCCGGATTTCTCCGGTACCACCCGATCCGGGGGTAAGCGGTAGGAGTCAGCTCTCCCCCGGGACGTGTGTTAGTAACCTAACTCCTTCTAAACGGCTGGAACGATTTAGTTGAAATGTTGTGTGTATATTTTAATGGGTTCCTGGATGGTTTGAAAATACAAATGGACACATTAGGAGGCGCTGCTGTCAGAGTGCCACTGATAATCTCCTAGATTTTAATGATAGTTTTTGTGTATGTTCGAGTGGATCCCAGCAAGGTTTGAAAGCACAAATGGACCCAGAAGGCGGCGCTGCAGTCGGTGTGCCACTGATCATCTCCTAAACGGCAGGGACAATTTTACTGTTATTTTTTGTATATGTTCGAGTGGGTCCCTGCAAGGTTCGAATTCACTAATGAATCCGGTAGGTGACGCTGCAGTCGGTGTGTTACGAAGCCGCGGGTACCTACCTACTGTTTGTGTAAGTACATTATTATATATTGATTATAATTTGACTTTTGAGTTTCCAACTCGAATGCAAGATTTTATGGAACTTAATACACAGTTACAAAGTGAAGCTAATAAAAGCGTGTTAAAAAAAAGTTGTGTAATATAACAGGTACCTATATATTATATGGTATCCGTTAAGTTTAAGCTTACTTTCACTCGCTTACTCAAGGAAACTTGTTTATAGTCAGTCGAGTCAAATAAGGTCTGAAATGAAATTTTGAACCTCAACTTTGCATTTTTGATATACCTTAATATGTAGTTTTAATGATACAAAAACAATGTGTAAAGGTTTTCGTGTCATTAACCCCTGGCAAGGGTTAAAATATTTTTTTTCAAAAATGTTATTTCGCAATTACTCGACAACGGTAATTATTAGACAAGTTTTAATAAAAATATGTAGAGCTTAAAATTTTACATAAAAAAAGATCATGACTTTTTCCTCCGGTAAAAATGAACGGAGCTAGAGAGAGGTTTTGAGTTTAAGGAATGAACGTAAATTTTAGAAAATCTAGTAGTTAGTAGAAATATCAGCGAATTTTAATTTCCTCGTTCGTCCCTTAAACTTAAAACCTCCATAGCTCGGTTAATTTTGAACGGAGGAAAAAAAAGTCATGATATTTTTTATGTTAAATTTTAAGCTCTACAGTCAACACATTTTATCAAAACTTTTTTGTCTAATTTTACCGTTTTCGAGTAATTGCGAAAAAACATTTTTGCCAAATTTTTTCACCCCTTGCGGGGGTTACAGACACGAAAACCTTGACACATTGTTTTTGTATCATTAAAACTACATTATATCAAAAATGCAAAGTTGAGTGGCAAATTTTGATTTCAGACCTTATTTGACTGGACTATTATACAGATTATATTAGATAGCGGTCCTTAATATAATATCGAATAAAGTTTTTATTCTAATCATCAAATTACATGAAATTTCACACAATAGTTACCAAGTTTAATGAAGTTATCATGTAGACTTCCTCTCTCTAACACGCGAAAACTTTTTTCACTTTAGTTTTTTTACCCGACAGTGGAAAAGCTTAAAGGATGGTTATGTCTTTGACCTGGATGTATGTACGACCGTATCTTCCCTCGTAATTACTAAACGGCTTAACCTATTAACCTATTTTGATGATTCATATGTCGTTAGATTCGTCTTGTTACCGTGAGTGTCATAGTCATCTATACTTATTATAAAAATAAGTCCCCCGGCCGCGTCTTTCTGTCCTCCTGTCTGTCCTCCTGTCTGTCTGTACGCGATAAACTCGAAAACTACTGAACGGATTTTTATACGGTTTTCAACAATAGAAAGAGTAATTCTTGAGGAAGGTTTAGGTATATAATTTATTATGCTTTTATGTAAATTAGCTGAAATACGGCGACAAATGTTGAAGAGGTCGCAAAAAATCTCGCCAAATGGGAACTTTCCACGCGAACGCCGCGTAAACTAGCAAAGATACAGTTAAGTAATGTACTAGAGAATTCAAAATCTATAAAAATGCTACAAAAAAGTCCGCGATAGCATATCTCTATCTCTTACGGTTGACTTACAATAACCACTTTTATGTTAACATTTTTAATTAAAAACATTACGTTATTTTCAAAGTTATTTTCTTTAGTTCGGTATTAATCCTTATCCAAATGAATATTTTAGTTAGCTTAGTCATTTAATGCAGATTAAAATTGCTCTTTACACTAAATCAATCAGATGAATAGTTTTTGAGATATCGTTGTTAGAAGTAATTAGTAGCGAAACATTTTTAATGCTTGGCGAGCATTGAGATGCCTACGGCGAGTCCATCCCCTCTGCCCCGCATCGCTCGACCGCCTGCTCAAGCTATATAAACCGGGCGATGTAGCGCGCGATCCTAGGATACTTTTTACCGCGGGAAAATATCTTATTTCTGAGGAAAAATACAAAAACTGCAATGTAAGAGTATACTAATATGTAACACCTAAGAATTTAGTTTTTGGTCATCTGAACGCGGGCGGAGCCGCGGGCAATGCTAGTACATAAATATGATTAAAAGTCAAAAATGGCGAGGCGTCTTGTGTCTTAAAAAAAAGTTTTTAAAAATCGATCGAGTGGGGTATCAAAATACAATTACAAAAATATATATGTACAAGTAATATGTTTTAAAAAATACTTAGGGTAAGAAATTGTTCATAATCATAACACTAAAATGTCTAACATACTAAAACTAAAAGTTTTAAGTAAAAAAAATAATTAAAATAGGCAGTCAGTCAGTTAGGCCAACAGAAATAAAGGAAGAAAGTGAAAATTTAGAACTTTAGATTAACTGTGTTTTATTTTAATTTTTAAATGAATTTTAGTACTTATAAATAATTAAAATTTCATAATTTGTAAATTGAAATTAATTTTAGTCTGGTTTTCACACCTATTGGTACTCTGAGCAATAATTCATAGCAAAATTTATTTACTTATTAGTGATTCACCGTCGCTGCACTCGGGTTCGTCCCTACTTAGTACTTACACTCGCAGTTAGTGTAAAACTTTTTATTTTTTACGCAGTCGGGATTTTTATTTCTGTAAATAATTATTCCATTCATTGTTTTTTGTTTTCGCAAGATGATACTATGCTCGTATCTATAATGTTAAGCTATTCGTGCCAACTGCCAAATATCATCCATAATAGAATTTGCATTAATGACTTGGTGAATGGAAAACAAGTAGACATACAAACACTTATTATTATCTAAGGATAATAATTTTACAAAAATACTACGTTTACTGTCAATCAATATTAATTATATAATTGACAGTCATTTTGGATATCAAACGCCTTGATAAAAGGCATCTAAAATTCACTATAGCGCCTTCATTATAAAGCAATCGCGTTAAAATTCACGTGGATTTCGTAGTGAGAGGTCGTCACTTGCGTTTTGTTTCGTGTCGGCCGCCATCGGCTCATTGTACACATTTTGTTTTGCAATCATTGCGCTTAGAAGTTAAGAGGACTGTTACTATAGCAATTGTGAGTACACATTTTATTAATTTATATGTATTTTGTCTTCAATATTGGCTTATTTTAATATGTACATAGAATAATTTAGATTGTATACATACAGCACATAAAGTATATATTTTATAAATCTTTATTGTCAATTTAAAATTGAAACGTATGTAAAAAATACGTTGCAATTGAAATTAATTTTTATGCCATTGTTTTGAGATCTCTCATAAGGCTCAGTTAGCGTTAGACATGTCTAAGAACAACTCGATAGAACCAGTTATTTGTTTTCCCGTGGGAATGAAAGATTTTCCTGTAGTAAAAAGTATCCTAAATGTTGAACCGAATAATAAGTTATCACTACACAAAATTTAGTTAAAATCAGTTCCGTACTTATTGTGTGTGTAGATAATAATATATTGTTTTTACTATTATGCAAAAAAAAATAACTTCTTGAAATTTTAAATGACTTGCGTTAAACCAATCACATTTTAAATTTTAAGTTTTTAACGTTTACTCTATTGTCATATTAAAAATAATAATAATTAACTAGACTCCATAGTTAAGAAGATCTACAGGTTGGTACAATAAATTTTATCACTGATAATATCCGTTTAACCGTAAAAATATAGTACTCGATAGAACCATAACAATAACCATAAAAATATAGTATTCCAGTATTAATATATATATCATATATATTAATATATATATATGACATTATATGGATTATTTTATATTTAACATTCTATATTTTAATCGGCTACAAATGTGACATACATAGGTAGGTACGACAATTTAATCTAGCCTGGAGCACAGATCATTTAATACTATATTAGTCCTGGAGCTAATTTTTGGTGACATTCCCCCGGGATCCTGTTTGTTAATATGTTTTATAGCTTAAATATATATTTCGTCTGGAAAAAGAATGAGGGTCCACCACATATGTAGATCGGAATCTTAGACCAATACCTACAGATGAATAAAATTGGAGTCTCTGTTTGTAATGTCAAAATAACAGTTTTTTACTAAATGCATATGTAACTAATTATATACAATATTTATAAGAAAAACACAATTCTTTAATTTTTTTCTCTGTTTGTTCCGGCTAATCTCCGAAACGGCTGGACCGATTTTGACGGAACTTTCATTGACAGATAGCTGATGTTATGATTATAATGTAACTCTACTTTTATTTTAGTAAAAGAAAGGTTCCGATCAAGAAAAAAAACACACTTAGGGACGCACCCGAGCGAAGCGAGGGTAGTCGTCAGTTTCTAATACGTTCAAAGTACCTAATAATATTTTATAACTCAAAGTGCACATCGTATAGGTAGTTATAATAAGTACGAGTGTATAACAAACATAAACACGAAAATAAATAATAGTACCCTTTTTATCATCTACTCTAACCTTCGCCTTGTTATTAGGATGCCGTCGACTGTAGCCTTTATATACAACTTACAGTCCGAAGACCAAGGTAAAGTTAAGGGCAATTAACCTTATAAGTCATTTGTAAATTGTCGTGTAATAGAACTGGTATTATATTCTTCATCTATTTAGTTTCATATCTCTTATCTTTGAATTTCTTACATTTGAATACCTTAACTATGTTGAAACAGGCATGTGTCCTACATAATTACATGTTAGTATGCAGGTGGTATGCGTACATGCATTAAAAAACTACCGTTAAAAAGAGACATGTTACTGATTAAAAGAAAATTACCTAAGTGTGAATGAGAAAAATGAAATAAGTGTACCTTAATATATAATATTATTTAAATAAGCAAAGTTCCTATGCCTCCCCTGAAATAAGATCATACTGATCCGTTAATCGGCTATTGGAATTCGCATTTTATGCATTCAAGGTGCTGCGTTAGTGGTAATATTGACAACTATACAGTTATTTGCCGGCCATATTTAAAAACGGCAGAGCAATATACATATATCCATATCTATACTAATATTATAAAGAGGAAAGATTTGTTTGTACCAAATAAGGTCGGAAACTACTGAACCAATTCAGATGAAATTTGGTAAAAAGATAGTTTGAGACCCTGGATAGGACATAGGATAGTTTTATTTCGGAAATCATCCCTTAAGGGGGTGAAAATGGGGACGAAATCATTGTATGGGGAATCAACCTAGGGGCCAATTCGAGCAAAGCGAGGGTGAGTCGCTAGTATCTTAATAAATAGGTATTAGCTTGGGTGCTCATAATTGTAAAACTATTGTATAAGGTACAAGCGGCTTACCCTCGCTTCGCTCGGGTTCGTCGCTAGGTACGTTTTAAATAGATATAAATTGTCATTAGCCAGCGTTAGCCATACATTTTTTTGTTTTCGTAAATTTTTCTGATGTTTTAATATTTATTATCCTATTCCGGACTAACTAAGAAATCCAAAAATTCAAATATCTAGCCGTTCTTGAGTTTTATGTCACGTCACAACGGGCACGCAATCGAACGGGATAAAAAGTATCCTATATCTGTCTCCTGGTTCTAAACTACCTCCCCACTAATTTTCAGCCAAATCGGTTCAGCAGTTTTTGAGTTATAAGTAGTGTAACTAACACGACTTTCTTTTATATATATAGATATGTTGTTATAACGACGACACGTTTGACCCAGTTTGTAGTGACCCTACTTACTGTGCCAGCAGTCGCGGGTTCGAGTCCCGCTGGAGCCATTCATTTGTGTGATGGGCACGAATGTTTGTACTCCAGTCATAGGTGTTTATATTTATAATATGTATGTATTTTAAAGCTATATATGTGTAGTGTATCAACTATCAGGTATCCATAACACCAGCCTCGTAGCTTACCATGGAACTAGATGGTGCGGTGTGTTAATGTCCAACATACATTTATTTATATCGTGAAACCAAGAAACACTTCAGCCTTTACTATTTTGCTGAGTGTCTGATTAACAATTGATTGAGTAGTACATAACATACACAACATTGCAAATGCTCATTTTTATCATGACAGTTCCAATGTTTCTACGATAAAATGTAGACAGCTGATATCCATGAATTTCGGTATGTTAGCTTTTCTATAATTTTCAATATATTAAAAATTATAATACAAATTCATTGTTATGGATCTTTGTGCTTAAGAATTTGGTTAATAGTATTAAGTAGTGATTCACCTTCGCCTCGCTCAGGTTCTTTCCTATTATTATAGTTTTACAATAATGTATGAAAGGATTTAAGTGTAACCAGAAATATTCATCTTTATGTATCTCTCAAGTTTACGACAGCCTTTAGACTCCGGTCTCCTGCCTGTGAATTACCTAGTTTTGCAAAAAAACTGTCGTTATTCTATCATGAAAAAAATATATTTACGTTTTTTTTTCTGGAGCATGTGTAAGTTATACTTCTTTTCAACCCACTTCCAAAAAGGACGAGGTTCTTAATTTGTCGTATTCTTTTTTTTTCTTTTCTATGTATGTTTCTGAACCGATTTAGAAAATTTGTTTTTTTTTTTTATTTCAAAGGGTATATAATATATATTATACTTCCCAGGTGGTCCCATTTAAATTTTATCGAAATCGGTCGGGCGGTTTTTAAAAAAATCAAGACTAAATTATTTTTTTACATAAATTGCTTAATCGAAATGTTATTAAAAAACTTTCTGCTTACAAATTGCCTGCATATTACGCCTACACTAAAAATGGAAAAATCAAAACTTAAAAGACACCGACTTCCAGACACTAAAATGTAAAAAATAACTAAACGGGGGTTTTCATTTAGAATAGATAAATAAAGTTTGGAAAAAAATATGAGAGCAAAATTTTTACGATGCGCGCGCACATCGACAGCCTAAAAGCGACATTATGAAGTTAGCTGATAACTGTTTGTTGCCATGGTAACCGTTGTTATTATCTGACAAATCTATATAATATACTAGCGACTTACCCTAGCTCCGCTCGGGTTCGTCCCTACCTACGTTTTACGGTTTTCGCTCGCAAACATAGATACGTACTTACTTCTTCTGAATTTTTGTAATGTATTAATTTGTATTTTGTACATGCAATACGACGATTTATTTCACTCAAGTCAAATCATTGTAATCGAAATGAAGACGCTGCCATATTTGATGACACCTATGAGAGATAGTTTCAATTATGTAATTATAGAACCTGTTACTGATGTGGCAAAGTGTGCCGCTAACTATTGCTTAAATTGTTTTATTTCGTCCACTATTTACATATAGATAAATAGTATAGATAAGTTTTAAAGCCCATTCATTAATTAAGACATTTTAGAAAGCTCTATATGCAGACAAGTATTAAATCTTTGTGCTACTTCCATACATAGCATAGCATCACACAATCATGATGAGGTTTACTCTAATGAAGATGAAAATTGTTTCAACTTGACTTACCTATAAAGTTCATATTGGACTCTCGTCCCTCAGAATAAAAAATAGTATTGAAAGAGTGTCGTAGAACTAAATATGAAGCCAATAATAGCCATAATGTTTTAAAAAACAATAAGTTCATACCTTTACATATTTACCCTACTAGATATTCATATCTTAAAGCATTGTCGGCTAACACCGACTTCGAAAATATCTTATGAGGTATCTTGTTGTAAATAAAAATCCCCGTTAAGTTATTTTTTACTTTTTGGAAGTCTGTTTTCATTATTTTTTTTAAGTTTTTATTTTTCCATTTTTAGTGTAGACGTATAAGTAGCTAATTTGTAAGAAGAAAGTTTTTTAATAACATATTTGACTAAGCCTAAATGGCTACCGAATTTTATATCAAGACCAACAAACTAAAAACTCACTTTTATTAAGTACCTACTTGTAAAGTTTCAAGTCGATATGACAATTAGAAGTAGGTAAAACAAGTCTAATTAGATTTGTTAACATTCTTCAAATTTTATGATTTTTGCTAAATTCCCCTTAAAACGGTATATCTATGTCAAAGACAATTTTATGGGACTACCTCAGTACAATACAGTTTAAAGTAGCAAAATCGGTCAAGCCATCTCCGAGAAATCGGTGAACATACATGA